CGGCTCAAACCCACCAGCTGCTCCTCGAAAACCATATACAGGTTCGGTATGAGTCGATGGCATTTACGAAGTCTGAACAGCTGTTAGACTTCTGGGATTCCCTTGTAACGGGAGACATGCTTCCAAATTATTTTCGGATTCAGCCTCTGTTTCCGCCCCCCACCCCACTCCCACCCCCTCACCCCCGCTCCAGGCAGCGAGGAAGCCTTTCATTTGGAGAGAAACAGCAGCACAGAGGGTCCATACTCTCATGAAACTCAGAGTTTTGTCTTGTGAAGTTCACAAGCATTAGATAAATTATTGTTCAAATATGGAGCAATCACCACTAAAATAATGTTTTTTCTGTGTAAAATTCGAACCCTAATTATAAGTCTAAGAACAAACAAATTTGTCTTACAAGTAGAACCAGAATGTTCTTAAAAGGCAGGAGGGCAAGAATTCCTGTTAGTACTTTGGACTTGTTATCAGGAGGGGCCAGTCCCTGGAGAAGAACATGGTGGTGTTTAGCAAAGTTAGTGAAAAAGAGGAAGATCCTCAATGAAAGGATGAACACAGTGGTAGCAATAAAGAGCTTTGGAAGCGTAATGGTTACGAGATGAGGCTTCCTGCTCCCATTCTACAACAATGGGCTGAAGAGCAGGAATTTTGAGGATGATACAGGCAGATAATGTTTCTTTCTGTCATACTCTAGGTGAACTATGGATTAGACACCTAAATAACAATCTCCAGCAACCCACAGCACCATACCAGGACTACAAAATGAGCACATTCCCTGACCGGGAATCGAACCCGGGCCGCGGCGGTGAAAGCGCCGAATCCTAGCCACTAGACCACCAGGGACAGACAATTCTTAATAAATGGAAGAACAACTTGAGTGATAGTTCTCCATGGCTATCTCAATTTCTGAACTTGTGAGAAATGTGAGACGCTGCTTTTTGATCTGAAACATCTTTTTAAGAACAGCCTTGGAAGATATGAATAGTATAGTGTCTCCCTCTGCAGCCAAGCATAGGCACTGTTTACTGGGCACGCAAATCTCAGGATTTCTATTTTATAATGAAATCCTGGTGTAGCACTGTGGGTTAATGCTTGCAAAGCCGTTTGAACTGCAAGGAGGGTGGTTCAAGCTCAACAGCTGCTCCTTGGAAACTCTATACAGGGTCGCTTTGGTTCCGAATTGACTAGGCGGCACTTAACTGCATCCCTATGCTTTCTTTGTATTTGATCTTTTTTTTTTTCTCCTTATTTGAAAACATTAGTTTTTATTCTCTTGGAGCTTGCTTGCACAAACTAGGCTCTATGGATTGGTTTTCTAAAGTTATTTTTTGTTTGCTTCCTTTTATTATACTTAACACATACAGAAACATAAGTAGCTAGTATGGAAGTTTTGAAGCCTATTAAAATGAACACTTTTGAAGATGTCACACAAGATCTATAACTACACTGCTCAAAACAATGACCACTACTTACATGTAGCTAGCTATTTAGCATTTGAAATGTGACCAGTATGTTTGAGGAACTGTATTCTAAAAAAATTTTTTTTTTAATTTTAAAAAGTATTCTAAATCAAATTATTGGAAAGTTTTGAAGTATGTTTGGGACAACTTGGGTGTGTGACTATTTTTTTAGCTCCAAATTTCATGAAATCTAAGTGCAGATCAAGTATTTACACTAAGATGCTCGAAGTGTAAAATACCCACAGGGTTTGGAAGACGGAGCACAAATAAAAAATGTAAACTATTTCATTTTTAAAAATTTTTGATTACATGTTAAAATATTTTAGAAAAAAATTTTTAAATTAACTTTACTTCTTTTACTTTTAATGAGAAAACTGAAAATTATTTATGTGGTTGGCATTAAATTTCCATCAGGCAGCTCCAAGCTAGAACATTATTAAGCTTTACATAACCTACATGCTACTCTATTCCCATCACTCTTTCCTTCATACCTAATCACTATCTTGAACTCTTCATTGAACCATTACCTTACTTCAAAAATAACTTACACATATGAATATCATTCTCCCATCAACAAAATAAAATATCAACACTCCAGGATGGCCCAGAATTTAAGTTAGAATTGCCAGCTTGCTAGATCCTGGTTAAGGACTGACGAGAGAAGAAGTGCTATCAAGGGATGCATTTTAGGTAATTATTCTTCAGTTGGGCTGAGCATGTGAATTCCAAAAGTCACATACCCACCACAGTTAGTGAAATAAATGTTCTGCACATGTATATGCATTTTCCAAAAGCATATATATGCTGTTGTGATCAATAAAAACTTAGATTCTCTAGAAGAGGACAGCTTCCCTTACGTGTGGGTGTCCTCATACTCATGAAGACTGGAAAACCACTGCTAATTCTCCAGACATTCTAAGATCTGTTCTGAAGTTGTGTTGTTTTATCTGAAAGTCATATATCCAGTTTCGTCCAGAACATGCTGCAATTTTCTGCAGAAACTGAACCAAAGGAACAGTATTTTAATCATTGCTTTTTGTATAATAGATCATGTAATTCTCTTTGGATTTATTACTAGAAAATACTCTCTTGGAGTCCTTGTCCTTCATTATTAACTATGCAAACCCAACATTTCCCAAAATGTTTTGTGAAACAACTCATAAAAATTCTTCAAAATGGGCTGAGTTTGACCATGTTCTGTAGACTCCTGTCAACCTGGAGATGAGAGGAGGAAGGGCTGGTTGGTCCAAAGTGTGGTGAGACCTGGGGACTCCTGAGTTCATGGACAAGGACATAGACACAGATGGCTAGAGCTGAGAGTGAACTGTCCAGCTGATATGAAGTGAAGGGAGACACACAATAAGACCCAAACTTGTAGATAATATCCATTCAATCTAGCTTTGATGGCTTGATGATCAGAACTCAACTAGAGGAAGATTTGAAAAAAAAACAAAAAACTTTTTGATAAAGGTAATAAAAGTATAAATTGCTACAATTTGATGAACTTGACCTATACTTACATAGTAGCTCAAAATACCAATTGAGAGGGAAGAAGTCTTCACATCAAGTATCAATCCTATCCCCTTTGTATAGAGGGCTGATAGGGATAGGCAATTTAGACATTGCTTACCTAAAATGGGGGTGCTATAAAGGCATGAAGTGACTGGCTTACAAGTTTTCAAGAGGGAGTTTAGTTTCAGAGTGTGTCGGGAAGGTAGAATCCTCACTGAATAATTTTCATCTTGTCTAGACAGGTCTGGTGAAAAGAGATGGGGATAAGATTCTTATGATTCAACAGTGAGTAATTGTTATCATGACTAATTGTGACTGTCACAACTATAAAGGTAGACGTTCCGTAACAAAAAGCGGGAGTAGTTAATTTTACATTCCAGGAACAGGAACCTAGGACCATCAATGGAGAGCATGAGCAGAATGTAGGACTCTATTCAGAGAAGCAGCAGCTTGGGATAGAGGCAGAGATGAGGACATGGAGAAATAAGAGCATCTGAGGACTCTAGACTCATGGAATTAGAAAGGTTGTGTGCTGGAGGCCTGGAGGCAGGCTTGCAGAATGTGCCCCTTGGTTGTTTAAATGACTATATATTCCTGAGTGTTTTTGTGTACCTCTCAAAACAAAACACCAGAGGGAATAGAAGCAAATACTGTTGAATGATGATGCACATAGGAGATTGTAATCATTGCAATGAAACGATGAGTGTAAAACTGATGTTCTCCCATGTAAACGATCACTCAATTCACAATAAAAACTTGAGAAAAAAAATTTTCTTTCAAACGTGGTCAATTGCTTTTGGAAAAACAATGCTTATGAGCTCCCTTGTTTAAGATTCAAAATGGACATGAGGATATTATAGGTCCTGAGAATTCTTTGAGAGCATAAATAAAACACCACCAGGCTGGTATTTCCCAAACTTATTATTTTTCAATTATTAATTTGTAACATACCTCTGAAAAATGCTGTTGATCTCTTCTCTTATCCAGAAAACTCAGAACTACATTTGATTCTCAATTATTGGCATTATGCTAATGAACTTGTCACAATGGAATTCCTTTCTAGGATTTTCAAATTCTATTTTAACAACCTAATTGTATGGGGGGGGTGTGCTTCAAAAAGTTCATGGAAAAATTTCATTATCACTTAATTTCAATTTTCCACTAACTTTTTGAAACCCCCTCATTTGTGAGTATTTATGTTAATTGTGTCTGCATTTATGACCTGAAAACACTTGGTAGAGAAAGGGATAGATGCCAGACCGACACTGGGAGACTTGAAAAGATAGATATAATTCACTAGTAAATTTAAAAGAGCATTTCATATGTTGTGCAAAGACATGGCAATTATTTCAGATATGAGCAGTTAGAAAAAATTTTTTGTGTATTGATAACTTAAAGTAGGACAGGCTTCATGTTCTTTCTATATGTAAACTGCTGACTTCTACTTATCTATAATTTAAAAATCTGCCCATCTGCTCTTTTCTGAGTCTCAACAGTACCGATCCTATATAGTACCATTGAGACTTCAAGTATAAACAAGAACACATTCTGCTTAAAGAAAAAAATCAATGCTTATCAATAAAAAATGCTTTTTTTTTTCTTCCTGAGTTTAGATATAGCTTCATATTCAATAAGATTTTGTGTGGGCATATGGAAATTGCCTAGATAAGCCTGAGCATTTGAGCATCATTTGTGGAGGATTTGCTAGTCATGTGATCCTGGGCAACTTTCTTAATCTTTTTATACCTCAATTTCCTCATCCCATAGGGCTGTTGTATGGATGAAACTAGTTAAAATGTATAAACAGTGCCTGGTACATACATAGCAAGCACTAGTAACTATTTGATAGCACTGTTCTGAAGTGGTAGACAAAGCCTTGGAAGTGAATGTACTCACTGAAGAAATCAATTACTAAATAGGAAGGTTAATGAAATCCTTGGGATCTCACAATTAAGGGTCAGGGAATCAAGTAGGACCACTCCAAGAGGGAGGAAGACAAACAGGAAAGTGTGAACACCGGAATCATTACTCTCAGGTGTTGGTGGTCACAATATTGACTACTGAGGTCTGGGAAACAGATGTTCCCCTCTCATCATGTTCATGGGTTCTCCATACTCTATGCTTTCTTTTTTTATGCCCAGTAAGATTGGAGCTCACTCTGAAGGCTTTCCCACACTCCTCACATTCATAAGGTTTCTCCCCAGTATGAACTCTCCTATGTCCAATTAGAGCTGAGCACTGGCGGAAAGATGTGCCACAGTCATTGCAAGTATATGGCTTCTCACCAGTATGGATTCTTCTGTGCTGCCTCAAGACTGAACTATGGTGAAAGGCTTTTCCACATACCTCACATTTGTAAGGTTTCTCTCCAGTGTGAATTCTTTGATGATTGGTCAGGTTTGACTTCCCACTGAAAACCTTACCACACTTTGAACATTCATATGGTTTCTCTCCAGTGTGGGTTCTGTGATGGATGGTAAGGCAGTGCCGATCCTGGAAAGTTTTCCCACATTCCCCACATTGATAGGGCTTCTCCCCAGTGTGCTCTCGTTCATGAGCTCTGCGTCTACAGTTATGACGAAAGGCTTTCCCACACTCCTTACATTTGTAAGGCTTCTCTTCAGTGTGAATTTTTCTGTGTTTGGAGAGCTCTGCCTTACTACTGAAGGCTTTCTCACACTGAGGGCACCCATAGTTTTTCTCCTGAGTGTGGCTTCTTTTGTATTTGCTTAAGTCTGAGCTCCGAGTGAAAGCCCTCCCACACTCACTACATTCATAAGGTCGCTCACCAGTGTGGATTCTTGTGTGTTTGGTGAGGTCTGAGCTCCCCCTAAAGGCCTTTCCACACTCCTCACATTCATATGGCTTTTCCCCAGAGTGGATTCTGCTATGGATGGTAAGGGAATGCCTAAACTGGAAGGCCTTACCACAGTCTTTACAGTCATAGGGCTTCTCCCCAGTGTGGATGATCTGATGTATACTGAGACGGGTTTTTGTCTTGAAGGCTTTCCCACAGTCCCTGCACTCATGAGGCTTCTCCCTGCTGTGGATTTTTTTATGTCGGCAAAGGGCTGACCTACTATTGAAGGCCTTCCCACACTGGGAACACTGAAATGGTTTCTCCCCTGTATGGATTATCTGGTGCATAGAAAGCTGATTTCTGGTCTTGAATGCTTTCCCACATTCATTACACACATAGGGTTTTTCACCAGAATGAATTAGCTCATGGAGAATTAGGTCTAAATGCCAGCTGAAGTTTTTGCCACATTTGTCACAGTTGTGGAGTTTCTGTTCTGTAGGAACTCTCTTATATGGGATGCTTTTTGAGTCTGGATGGATGTTTTTTCTAAATACTTTCTGGATCTTTCCTCTCTTGATAGTCACATCCTCAGAGACTTCTTTCTCTTCTCCCAGTTTCTCCCTCATGGGTATTTCCCATTGATTCTCAAATTTGACATTCTGCACATGAACTTCTTCAACCTCAGGAACCTGAGAATCAACTTTCAGGCAACTTTTAAATTTCATCCAACAAACATCTCCTTTTTCAAAAACCTCTTGTTTTGAACATGCTCTCTTAATCTCAAGCCATGTCTTGTCAGTTGACACTTAAAAAGAGAAAATAACAATGTCATATATTCAGAAGAAAGAAAATACGTGAGACAGGAGAGGTAAAAAAATAAATGACTTTTCCGTGCTTAAAAATTTGCTAATATTTGGGTAGGGGAAAAGGAAAAATGGTCAAGGGTCGGGAAACAGGCTGAGGTAATGGATGGATTGACTCAGTGGCAGCCACAATGGACTCAAACATAACCACAGTTGTGAGGACGGTGTAGCACTGGGCGGGGTTTTGTTTTGTTGTGTAAAGGGTCACTATGAGTCAGAACTGAGTTGCTGAAACCTAACAGCAGCAATGACAAGATATTTCAAACTTAGTACATTTTATAAAAAAATCTTTACAAACCTACTCCTCCTTAGACTCTCTTAGTTTACTGAATGGCCCTTCTGTACACCCAGTCATCAGCCAAGAAGATTTCATCTTTAACTCCTTCTACCTAATCTCATATTTACTCAGCTAACATTTTACAAATTCTGTCAGTGAAGTGAGCTGCAGAGAGGATGCTGAAATGTCGGTATAGTACCTCTCTAAGCCCTAGACAGTTCTCTTTCTGTGATGTGATTCTGTTCATTTGGGTAGGGTTGATTAGAAAGGAGGAATGCTCAGCCCAAATCAGGTCAGATTCTCTCTTCTTGGCCTCTGGAATAATTATGACTGCGGAGTAGGAAAGATAAGGCTCTTAGGGTAGCTAGGTTTTCAATATTTCAATTTGAGGACCAGTGGTATATGATGTAGGAGAGAGAATGTTTTGCCAGATGGTCTAAGAAGCAGAGAAAGTCGATCTGCAAAGAAGAATGAAGCAGATCCACAGAGAAGCAGAGGAGAGAGGGTCCTGGTGGCTTTCCAGAATATGCCCTTAGGTTCCATGGTACACCTCTGAAGTTCAATAATTCTTGTGTTTTTGTTTGTTTTTTTTTTAATTTAAGTTATCTTAAGTTAATTTGTTATTGGCAACTGAGGAATTTAAATCAACCTTCTTACTATCACTTAACTCTCTCCTTTCTCCCTATTTCCACTACCAGAGCAGTCTCTTTAACTAATTGCAATACCTCCTGAATGTCCTTTAGTCTTCTTCCTCTTTAATTCATCCTCTGTATTGTTTCTGGATTAGTTTTCCAAAAAAATAAAATCTGATCATGTCATCCCTTAATTTAAAAATACTTCAATGGAATTCCATAGATAACCAACCATGTGAGAAGGAAGCAAAGTTTAGAGTGAAGAGCCCTGACTCTGGAGTAAGACTGGATTCAAAACCAACCTGTCGTCCCTACTAGACTTTAAGCTTCTCGAGGGCAAGGTCCATATCTTATTTGACTCTATAGCCCTAATACCGTGTATACTGCCTTGTATACATAGTTGCTCAGTATTTTTTAAGGATAGAAAGAAAGGAGGAAGGGTGGGTATTGCAATTGGGTAGTTGAAGTAGGCATATAAATAATGGAGAAAGAGTAAAGAAATCTTTCAGAGAACAAATTCAGAAAATAGTTTCAATGAAGGAAGAACTGGTAATATTTCATAACTGGTTAGACATGCAGGTCAGGAAGAATGGAAAGGCAAACTAAGAAAAAGGCAGAATGAGAGATAAAAATAGGGATAGTTTAGTGAAGAGATAGCTTTGTGAAAAATGAGTTTGACATTAGGTGTGTTGGTTTTCAAATGACAATGGAATATTAAAAAATATATATATAAATAAAATTAAATCAGGAGTTAGAAGCATGAGTCTGATGCCCAGGAAAGAGGTAAAGATTAGTTTTACCAAATTGCATCTGTATCAAAGCTGATAGTTGAAGGCACGAGGAAAAACTAACTTCATAACAGGAGAATATAGAGAAAGGCCCAGGACTCAAAACAGGGAAGGTCTTGAAGAAAACTGGAGACAGAAGAGCAATGTTCTCTGAGCCTTTTTCTGAGGATCAAATTTCCAAGAACCTATTAGACAGGCTATACATTAGTAGGCTAGAAGTGAGGTTGAATTATTTTGAGAGCCAAATACTTTAGATATGTTACCAGGAGGGACCAATCACTGGAGAAGGACACCATGCTTGGTAAAGTAGAGGGACAGCAAAAAGGAGGAAAACCTTCAACAAGATGGACTGACACTTGGAGGGATTGATACAATAATGGGCTCAAACATAGAAACAGTTGTGAGCATGGCATAGGACTGGGCAGTGTTTTGTTCTGTTGTACACAGGGCTGCAATGAGTTGGAATCTACTCGACAGAATCTAACAACATTATTAGATAGGCTGTAAGAAACAAATTAGATAACGACAGGATAAGTGCTTAAGTCATCTGTTGCTGTTTTCTCTTGCTTGTTACTTGCTGAGTTGGTTCCAACTTACAATGACTCTGTACAGGGTTTCTGAGGAGCAGCTGGTGGGTTTGAAGTGTTGACCTTTTGGTTAGCAGTCCAGTGCTGATCCTACAGCTCCAGACCAGGACTGTTTCTCTTACTAAATGGATTTACATTATGGCTCCTTCACAATAGATGACCCACCAATTGGATCCTTCTATAACCATTTCATCACATAGAAGAGTGGAGAAAACTAGAAGTTCTATCACTCACCTGGGCAGGAACAGCTCAGGAACTCCCTGTCCTGTAGATCCTGAACCCAGAGCTCTGTCCCTCGCTCCAGATGGGCAATCAAAGAAGGTTTAGGAAACAGAAATCCTGGTTAGAGAGAAGGAATAAGATAGTGTGTCGAGCAACCAAGAACAGTCTAACACTCCCATTCCTTCTGTAAGCACATGGCCACAGGAAAGAACTGTCCATTTGGGTACTGGAAAATATTTTTTTCAGGGGGCTTGTACAAAGACATGTTTAGGTAGGGCCTTTCTTAGATAAGTCATACTTAAAAGGACAAAGAAGGAGATTTTAGGAAATAGTTATCTGCGTGCTTTTCCCTGTGCTCTTTTGGAGGATGGAAGGTTGTCTGTTTGGGGCTCGTGACTAGGAGCTTAAATGCTAAAGGAGCTCTGGTAGCGTAGTGGTTGCGAATCTTAAGGTCAGCGGTTCGAAACTACCAGCCGCTCCGCGGGAGAAAGATGAGGCTTTCTACACCCGTAAAGATTTACACCCTCGGAAACCCTGTACAGGGTCACTATGGGTCAGAACTGACTCGATGGCACTTAACAACAACAACAATGGAAAATGCTAGAGGAGACAGGAATCCAAAGAGAAAAGAAGCTAAGTGTCTCCTTCATACAGGAAAAATTCTATTTCAAAGAATCAAGAAATAGCAATTCGTTTGGCTAGAAAATTCTCTCTCTGTATAATAGAGGCAACTCAAATTTCTAGTTTGAGGGGACAATCCTGATGATAAAAATAAGGGCTCTGATTTTTAAACTGAGATCCTATAAACATCTATATAAAGCAGAGACAGAGAGAAAAGCAAGTACTGAACCATACACAGGAAAAGTCCTTACCAAGTGATACCAGATTCCCATAATTTTCCAGCATCACATCTTTATAGAGATGTCTTTGAGCCTGGGTCAGGCATTGCCACTCTCGGTCAGTGAAGTTCACAGCTATATCCTCAAATGTCACTGACTCCTGAATCAGTATGTTCCTACTGTCCTGGAAAAAAAATCCCATAGTTTCCTCAGGAAACAGAAACAGTAGGAAAGCATTTGTAGGGTGAATGTTTACCAAAGTGAAAGGCTATTACTGCTTTGGTGAATAGTTGGGGATGTGAAAGGGAAAGGGAACCTGGGCTTTTAGAAGTGAAAATTAAAGAATAAACAATCCACATGTGACCCCTTATGAGAGGGAACACCTCTACTTGAAGCTGCATAGGCCAAGAAGACAGTGAAACAGAGTTAAACGTAGACGGCTGTGCTATATTTCCAGGAAGGCTGGGAGGGGCTTCAGCTCACTTGGGTCTGGGCCATCAGTGTAGTAGCTGCTTCTGGCAGGTTTCCTTGGCTTCCATCTTTGGCAAAGGCACGGGACTGAGGAGTTGGGATTGCTGAGACAGGGGAAAAAAGCCAAGAGTTAATTTGGCACAGCATTAAAAAACCCTTGTTTTCAACCCTTCCCCAGATGAAGCTTCTGCAGGTTCTAGTCTAGGGGTTAAGCCTACAGCCATTACAGTATCCTCTTCTATTATTTCTCCAGTTTCAGTTCCTGGTGCCCACACTGCAGTCAAGCTGTGTATTGTCTTCCTTTCCCTCCCCTACTACATGTTTCTCTCTGGTTTGCCATCCTCTTTATCCCATCCCCAAACAAAAAGGGCAAGAAATCCAAATCATGAACTCATAGCTTCTATATTCAAAAATTGAAGTAATTTTCTCCAGAAACACTTTTTTTTTTTGAGGGTGGGGGGAGGGAGGAAGGGTGAGGAAAGAGTGGAAATAGCCAGCTTATTCCTTTAGGTAACTTAATGGTTGGTCTACCACTAGTTAATTTATTAGAAAAATATTTTCCTTGGTCTTATTAGAGAATCCCCCTGTGATTCTCCTACTAATTTCCTCATCTTTCCCACAACAATGTAGCATTGCACACACAGCATTTCAAAGTGCAAAAGTGTCCAGGTATGATAAATTATGGGTTGAGTGAGATGTATAATTTCACATTACTAATTAAACTTTATTCCTCTAGGTCAGCTCACCCTTTCTGTAGTAGCTGAAGATAATTTAAAAACAAGTATAGCAGTATACTGATAGAGAGCTAACAGAATTTCAAGCCAGATTCAGGAGTGAGAGATAATCATCGCTGCAAGTCTGATGGATCTTGGCTATAAGCAGAGAATAGCAGAAAGCTGTTTACTTGAGCTTTATTTTACCCAAAGTTTCACGGCAAAACTTTTGCTCTGTTGCCACTACTTCTATATCGTCTCCTGTTTACCCATAGTTTACTCTTTTTCTCAGTTATATATACTATATTTTGAAATCTCAGGGTCCCAACTTCTACAGAAGTAAAATTATAGTTATTTCAGATTTTGCATATTAGGAAACTGGTGATTGGGCAGGAGTTACTGAATTATAAGTTTCATATGTGTAAGTATTTATGTACACGTATGTGTACTATTATATCTTTACTAAATGATTGTTGTTGTTAAGTGCCATCGAGTCAGTTCCAACCCATAATGACCCTGTAAAGGTCATTCTGAGGAGCAGGTGGTGAGTTTGTACCACTGACCTTACAGTTCAAACCAACCTTGCAGTCCAGTGCATTATCTTGCAGTGACACAACAGGATTCCAAAAAACAAAAGTGAAGGTCCCAGGCAAGAACCCGGGGCCTCGGGCATGCTAAGCACACACTTTATCACTGAGCTACACCCCCTCATATAAATGATAGAATGCAAATCAAAGATTTACAAGAAAAGAGTATATAAAGCAATTTATCAAAGACATTTAATATAATAATAGACTGCCTTAATTTTCTTTGATAAATTGCTCTGTATAATCTTTTCTTACGAATCTTTGATAATTAATGTAATTGTTCTCAATAACAACTCAGACTCAGTATACAGCCATGCAATAGAAGGCCTTTTATAAATGCTGAAAAATGAACAGATTTCTGGGCCCCAGGAAAATATCTCTCACTCACCCTTACTCCATTCTCAGCTCCCAAGATTCCCACCACCCTGTGTGCCTCACCTGTGTCCTGCAGAAGCCATGTATCAGTGGTCCAAAGAAGTTGGCGTGGTGATCCTGATGTCTCATCTGACAGCATAAGCTATTGTAGGGCACAGAATAAAAACAATGAAGTTAGGGAGGTAAGGAAATAGTATGTTCATGGGCATTCTCAACAAAGCTCTAGACAATGGACTTCAACAGTACATCACGATCAATGGGTTTCATATTAGGGATGCAAGGGTGGGTCAACAGTAGAAAATCAATCAACATAATTCACCACATAAATAAAACAAAGGAAAAGAATCACATGATTATCTCAATCAGTGCAGAAAAGGCATTTGATAAAATCGAGTTCAAACTCACCAGCCGCTCCTTGGAAACCCTATACAGGGTTGCTATGAGTAGTAACCAACTAGACTTAAAAACAGCAACAACAGCATCCTTTACTATAAAAACTTGCAGCAAAATAGGAATAGAAGGGAAATTTCACACCATTATTAAGGGCATATATGCAAAACCAAGCACTAGACCGCAAAGGTTGGTTTGAACCACAAGATCGATAGTTCAGCCTCACCAGCTGCTCCTTGGAAACCCTATACAGGGTTGCTATGAGTCAAAACTGACTCAACGGCACGTTAACAAAACAACATAAAAAACCAAGGAGTCTTGGTGTGGTGCTATAGAATAAGCACTGAACGACAATGTTGGTTTGAACCTCAAGGCTCAAATCCACCAGCTGTTTCTTGGAAATCCTATACAAGGTCATTATGGTGGTGTAGTGGGTTAGAAATTGGGCTGCTAACAGCAAGGTTAGCAGTTCAACTTTACCAACCAACCACTCTGTGGGAGAAAGATGAGGCTTTCTGCTCCCATAAAGATTTACAGTCTCAAAAACCCTATACAGGGTCACTATGAGTCATAACAGACTCCATGGCACATGGCCACCACCACCATATATAAAACCAACAGTCAACATTATTCAATTCTAATATTCCAGTTTAAATCTCAACAGCATTCTTTTTATCACACTTTATTATTGCTTCAGTAATTCAGCAAAAGTATCCTAAACATTTACATTGCAGACCATTTGTATGATTTATACCAATGGAATGACGCAGTGTTGTGCATCTGCTTTCAGTAACACTGCTTCATTTCATATCCTCCAATCACTTTTTTTTTTAAGTTTTTATTGAGAATTGAGTGACAGTTTCAGTTTTACACTCAACCTATCGCATTTCATTTTATTGTAATGATTACAATCCCTTCCATATGCATTTAACATTTGCATTTGCTTCTATTCTGTTTTTTTTTGGATGTACACCAAAACACTCAGGAATATACCATCATTCAAACAACCAAAGGGTATACCCTGCAAGCCTGCCCCAGGTCGCCAGCACACAGCCCCTCTCCCTCCCTGAGTCTAGAGTCCCCAGCTGCTCAATCTCTCCATGTCATCGTCTCTGCCTCCATCGTGGGCATCACTGCTTCCACTCTTCTCTCTTGATGGTCCCAGGGTCCTCCACTCCTGGATTGCAAGATCAACCACTTCCCATTTATTGCTACAAAACCTCTACCTTTACAGTTGTGACAGTCGCAATCAGTCATGTTAATATCAACAGCATTCTTAAATGAAATGAAAAAACTAATTTCAGCTTTATATGGGAAGGAAAGAAGCCCCCAAACCTAAAGAAATATTGAAGAAGAGCACAGTAGGCGGCCTCACACTTATCAACCTCAAAACTTATTACAAAACCACAGTAATCAAAATACCCTGGTACTGGTCCAATGACAAAAACATAGACTAATGTAATAGAATTCAGAACCCAGAAGCATATCCATCCATCTACAGACAACTGATCCTCAACAAAGGGAAGAAAGTCTCTTTAATGAATGGTGCTGGCAAAACTGGATCATCCATTTGCAGAAAAAGGAAACATCATTTATATCTTACACCATATATGAGAACTAACTCAAAATGGATCAAAGACCTAAAAGTTAAAACTAAAGCTATCAAGTTCCTGGAAGATAATATAGGGACAAAAATTAGGAAATTTAACTTTTTATCTAAAAAGTCTATCAAACACAATTAGAAAAGGCACAAGTAACACAAGATAAATTAGGTAACTGGGAACTGCTAAAATTTAAATATTTATGCTCATCAAATAACTTTACAAAAAGAGTAAAAAGAGAAGTTATAGATTGGGAAAAAAAATCTTTGGCAATAACATTTGATAAGGATCTAATCTCTAAAATATATAGACAATTGTAACAAAGGCAAACAATACAATTAGAAAGTGACTGAACTTCTTAAGATATTTTAGTGGTTCTTGGTGATTTAAATGTAAGAAGATTTTAAAATTATTTCCCTAGATAACATAAAAGTATAATTTTCTACTTTAATTTAACTTCTGGCTCAGTGAGAATGATTACTATTTGTTTTTAAATGAGGATTAATGCAAAAAATAAATGATCTAGACTGTTAAACTGAGCTGTCAGTAATGTATACTGTTTTGAGAAAATACATAAACTATGACAGTGAATGATTTGGATATATTAGAAAGATATGGTTAAAGTGAGAAATACATGATTTAGCTTAAACAACAGATTGAAAAAAACATGCTGAAATATGAGGGTAAGTCAAAAAGTACTGCTGAAAAATTATAGACATTAAAAAAAAAAGTGAACTATTGGTTCTCAATACACCCTTCATCTCACTATTATAAAAAATCAGGAATCGGTATACACACAGAGAATCATGTTATTCTATTGTTACCAGGGATGGGAGAGGTAAGACAGGGAATTACTGTCTAGGGAACAGACATTGCTTTTGGTGATAGGAAAGGCAGTACTCAATATGGGTGAAACTTGTACAATGTGACTGATGTAAGTGAAGATGCTAAGAAGTATATAAGAATAAGGGGCAATTCTGGTAAATTCTGTAACATACAATTTTACAGCAAAGTAATAACAACCAAAAAGTGTATGGGGTTACATAGATAGATATGTATGTTTATATAAGGGAGTTTCAAAAAGTTCATAGAAAAATAGAATGGAAAGATAATGGAATTTTTCCATGAATCTTTTGAAGCCCCTTTGTATGTGTGGCGGGGGCCATAATAATAATATGGAATTTTATTAATAAGGAATTAAAATGAATAAATTGAGACATATTAATCGAGGAATTAAAATAAATAAATGAGACATGGGGAAACCTGGGCATAGAAGAATTCATTGTTTTTGCAGAGCAACAATAGATTATTTTCCTTGAATAGCAAAGCTGCAAGGAAGAAATATTCTATGCGTAGGCCCCTAGTGAATTTTTTTTTCCTTTTGAATCATTTTCTGATTTATTCATGATTTTATTAGTATCCCTTTACTTTAGATTTTGACTTTCCTACACTTCAGTATATTTTTATTAAAAGTTAGAAGCCATATATTAGCTACATCTTATTCTACTTGTAATCATAGGTAGTTTTAATACTTATATTAACAATGTTCTTAAGACTATTAGGAGACAGGATTTGTCAGTTGAATTACTACCAGCTTAGGTTTAGTGATTGTAAACATTCTTCCTTGTAGCCTTAGTTTAAGGCAATAAAGGATCCCTAAAAAAGCAACTAGGCCATAAATACGGGCTGTGGGTACAAGAATTCCTAAAAACAATTAGACTATAGATAAAGGCTATGGGTATATACAGATACTAAATAAAAAATCTGACTTAGACGTTCTTAAATTAATGATCAGTAAAATAGGGAAATTGTTTTCATAGCCTCAGTTTTTTTAAATGTTCTGATAAGTGATGTTTTTGTAGGCTATAAACAGTTAGTGTATGGAAGAAGTTAATGGAGAGTTAATTGCACTTAACAACTAAAATTAACAAGACTTAACAGACAAAGGTTAAGAAACATATGTGAAGGTTAACTTGCTTCTCAGAGAAAAGAATAGATTTATGTAGGAACAAATGGTTTCAAGGCGCCAGAATGTCTCGTATGCCTTGAGATAATGTCTCTTTGCTGTAACTTCCCATCCCTGTTGTACATCTAAGAGTTGTAAATCATGAAGAATGTGCCCCAGACTTGATTGTATTTTGATGTCATTGATTGCTATGAAAGCAATGTTTTTTGTAACGGTATATAAGAGGGTTGTAAGATAGAATAAGTAAGTAGAGGTAAGTAGAAGTAGAGAGAGGAAGGGCGAGAAGAAGGAATATGAGGTGGAGAGGAGACGAAGAAAGAATAGAAGGAAGGAAGGAGAAGACAGAAAAGAAGCAGAAGAGATGAGCAGGAGAGGAGAGAATGAAAGCAGGGGAAGGGAGAAAAGACGCAGAAGAGATGAGCAGGAGAGCAGGGGAGTAAAGAATGAGTAGGACAGTAAAGAATGAGAGAGTAGAGTAGCATAGAAATAAGAATAATAAACTCTGTAAGAAGAAGAATTTGAATTAAGACCCATCCTTCGCCAACGCCGCATCCGTTTTCGGAAAAACCCTGAATAAATTTGCCAGGGCTGGCTCCTGGCATATGTGCATGAAAAGACATATGTGAGCATATGCACATGCATGTATATTTGTAGTTAACATACATAGACATGTTTGTGCTCCACAAACTCATATATATATATAAAATAAAATTCATAGGTGGCATTGTTACAAAGACTTCCTAAATATATGCCAAACCTCATGGATGGGCCTGGTTTACTAGATTAAAAGGTTTAGCATCATAGTCCTATAGGACAACTCAGTCAATTGGTGTAACATAGTTCACAAAGATAATGTTCTATACCTTGCTTGGTGAGCAGCATCTGGGATTTTAAAAGCCTGTGATACAACTATTGGTCTCTACTTGACTGGAACAAATGAGAATGAAAGAAACTAAAGACTCAAAGAAGAAATTTGTTTATAGGAATAACAGTCCATCGAATGATTGATGCCAGCTACCACTACTGACTGTTTTGCCCAGGAACACAAAAGAAGGCCCTGGATAGAATGAGAGAAAAACACACAAGAAAATTCAAATTCCTAAAGGCCAGATTTACTGGACCAATGAGACTGTTGTCCTAAGACACCCTTTGAACTTGGAACTGAAGCCATTCCTGGATGTCATTTTTCAGTCAAATAGATGTTGTTGTTAATTGCAGTCATGTAGACTTATAGCAATCCTGTATAGGGTTCCCGAGAATCAGCTGGTGGGTTTGAACCATACTGACCTAGTGGTGGGCAGTGCAGTGCTTATCCTACAGTGCCACACCAGGACTCCAAATAATGGACTGTTGTTGTTAAGTGTTGTTGAGTTGGTTCCAACTCAGAGTGACCCTGTATACGGTTTCCCAGGAACAACTGGTGAGTCAGAACTGCTGGCCTTTCAGATTGCAGTCCAGTGCAGATCCTACAGCACCACACATAGGCTTATAAAATAAACAGTATCGCCCATGAGTAATATAATTCCTTAAACAATCAACTATATGAGACAAATAGTCAACATTTACCCAAAAGCAAAGATGAGAAGATAAGGAGGGGCTTGGAAGCTAGACCAATGGAAACAGAACAAACTAAATGGAAACAATTAGAATGCTGACATATTGTGAAAATGTAACCAATGTCACGGAACAATTTGTATAAAAACTGTTAAATGGGAACTTAATTTGTTGTGTAACCTTTCACCTGAAACACAAAAAAACATGGGTCTAATAGTGCTGTTACATGAAGGAATTGCAACTAATATTATGAAACAAAATGTGTATAAACTGTTGAATGGGAAACCAATTTGCTCTGTAAACTTTCACCCAAACCACAATAATAATAATAAAAAGAATCCCTTTTATAAAACAAATAAACAATAAAATATTTTTTTAAAAAAAGAAAATACAAGGGAGCTTTAAAAAGTTTGTGGAAAAATGGATTTTAAAGATAGTGGATTTTTTCCATGAATTTTTAAAGCTCCCTTGTATATAGGAAGCTACAATCAACAAAGGTTTGTCAATAGAAAGTATGTCTACCAAAAGGGGAGAGAGAAAAAAAATCAGGGACTCAGTTCTTAATGGAGTCTTGGGGTGCTGCTGCAGGATAATGCACAGGACCACAAGGTGGGTTTGAATCTCAAGGTCGGTGCTTCAAACTCACCAGCCACTGCTGGGAAACCCCACACAGGGCTGCTATGAGTCGGAACCGATTCAACAGCACTTAAATGTTCCTAATATACCTTATGAAAAATGGAAATAGCATCCAATCACTTTGTATGACTATAAAGTTTTAACGATCACCAGGTCATACAGGAAAAATAATATCCAAAAGGAAAATAGTTCTACACATAAAACCCAGGCCCACCAATACTTCCACTGCTTTCTTCCTTTCTTGAACACACTTCTTGTGATGCATCGCAGAACCCCCTTTTCTTACCTGCAACATTTTTTAACCCCACTTTCTTTTGTAATCTTCCACCACTGTTACTGTTCTGGTTTCTACTCTGTTGACTGGAGAGTTGTCACTGTGTCTAGACAATACATTTTGAAGTGGTTTTCTCAGGTTCCAGCCTCCTTTGTGAGGCTACAAGTCTTGGTGATGTTGGCCAAAGGGTTCCTTCTGACATGTAGGGCAGCTGCTATTTGGTTTGGTGTATCAAACACTGGCCTGGATTTGGGCTTCCTGAGCAGCATTAAGCTAGCTTTGATGTCACACCTCGTTTTCCTGCACAGTTGGTAAAGGAAAGAGAGAGAGTAATTACAGCAGCAAGAGAGAATCACTGAAGAACTGAGACATCTGTGTGATGAGAGGAGCACAGGAAGACAAACTGAAAATGTTAATAATCCAGAGTAAACTTCTCATTACCTGCACTGCTTCGACCCTGATTTGAGCAACCATCACCATTAAGCAGACCCATTAATGTGGCAGTCTTCAAACTAACCTCCTTGCCTTGCCGTCTTTTCTCAGTAACACAGCACTTAGAATGATCATTTTAAAACTTGAGCTGGACCATTCATCTCTTTACTCAAAATTCTCCAGTGTCTCTCTTAAAATAAAAGCTTTATGGCGACATACAAGGTCTTAGGGGATGTGCCCATTACTTCTTCGAATCTCCTCTTCTGCTTACTCAAAATAACAGTGCTCATAACAGCATACAAGGAGCGCTGGTAGCGTAGTGGTTACGGAGGGGCTGCGAACTGCAAAGTCAGCAGTTTGAAACTACCAGGTGTTCCGAGGGAGAAAGATGAGGCTTTCTGCTCCCGTAAAGATTCACAGCCTCGGAAACCCTATACGGTGTCAGTGTCGCTATGAGTCGGAACCGACTCATAACAACATAATGGTGTACAAATCTGTCAGCTGTGCCCACTAACTCTTGACCTCCTCTGCTACTTTTCTTCTCCTCAATCCTCTTCAGCCACACTGAGCTTCTTTTTCCATTTTAGGTATATTTTCATTTCAGGTCCTTTGCACTGACTGTTCCTCCACCTCAAGCTATATCAGTGATTTGCCTTCTTCAAGCGTTTGCTTATTTGTCATCTCCCCAAGGCGGCCTACTCTAAATACTTAAAATTGCAATCTACCTCCTCCTTCCAATTTTGATATACCTTACACGCTTTAGAGCAAATCATGGGTTCTGAATTGGGTGGCTAACCTCATGGTCATAGTTCGAAACCACCAGCTGCTCTGCGGGAGAAAGATAAGACTTACAGCCTAGGAAACCCTATACAGGGTCGCTATCAGTTGGAACCGACTCCACGACATACTTTCCTACATGGTGCATAAGTTACTTGTTTACTATGTCTATGGTTATCGTCGGTCTCCTCTAGCTAAAATGTGGGTTTAGAGGCTAAGTGTGGGTAGGGAGTTTTGTCTGTTTTGTTCGCTGCAGCGTTCCCAATGACTACAACAGTGTCTGCACTAGTAGGCGCTCCGTTAAAGACTGGCGGAATGAAAGAATGCTGGAGAGAAGAATAAAAAGAATGGGCAAGAGGCCGCTGGAAGGAAGAGGGGCTGGAGGAGCGTAGGAAAGCCGACGGGAAAAGACTAGTCTGGAGAGGACACCACAGCGGACCACCCTCCCCAATCCAGTCACAAGGGCCCGCTCCTCCCCGCCGGCAACCCGGGAGTCCTGGGCGGGAGGCTATTAAATGAAGTCGGTGGCTGGCGGCGCCGGTACCTCCCACCCGCCCCGCAGCTGGAGCCGGGACCCGCAGGCAGCACCGAAGCCTCTCCGAGGCAGATACAGACCTTCCAGCTGATACGCGCCCCCAGGAAATACGAAAATAGAGAGCTCGAGAATGGCTCGGCTCACTTCCTAGTCGTCTAGTAACCACTTCCGGTGACTTTCTAGGAAACTCCTCAACTCGCTGGTTGTGGAGTTCAAGTTAATTAGGGATGGAAAAGGGTGCCCTGGTTGCAAATACTTTACCAAATTGGCCATTACTGTCACACAGGGCGATAAGTGAACACTATGCAAAGGCACTGTCCAAGGGGTTGTAGGAGAGATGCCTTTGCATGGTTACCTAGCCTCCAGAAAGAACTGGCTGCAATTTTTCTTTCCAATATTAATAGTATTAACATCCAGTTCACATACCTTCATGGGATATATTCATGAGAAACTTCATTAAAACTTTAATTGAAATGAAGATACTTTACTTCCACAATTTCTTAAGTCGTAGTTTACGACTTTACTAATTGAGTCCAATATAGATAAAATGTGTTTACACTATTCCTACTTGGCTAACCTCAAGTGCTTATAAGTGTTCTCCTAAAATAATAACTGCTGGATTTTTACAAGTTTATCAGTTTGTTAATTTCACAGTTTACCTTTTTAACATTTTGAGCATTTGAACATTTGCTAGTCTTGGGCCCCTACCGCACTCTAGGAAAGCGGCCTTCAGATATCTTGTAGCTTTGGTCTTTCAGGACCCTTCAAATGATTTTATCTGGGCATGAAGACTTGCGCTTACTTGAGGCAACTAGTTGCTTTTTACATCTCCTTGTCTGTCCTAATTTAATTTCCTTATACCATGGCTCTGTGAGACTGGACTGCTAACTGCAAGGTGGTAGTTGAAACCCACCAGGCCCTCTTGGAAACCCTGTACAGGGTAGCTATCAGTTGGAACTTACTGGACACACACACAACATACTGGTACTTGTGTCCGTTTGAAGGTCGTGATCCTTGATAGAGAATAGAAGACTGATTGGTGTTTAATAGTTTTTATAGTCCCACTGCCATTGTTGAAAAAAAAAAAAAACAATTTCATTTTCTGGGACTTTTGAAAAATTTGCAAATATTTCAGGCATACAAAAGAATAATAAGGAACACAACAGTAGCTAAAGATACAAAACACTAGTTATCAGTTTGCCAGTTGTTTCGGAGTTAGTCTGGACTTACGGTGACCCCATGGATGTGAGTTATTTCAATGGTTGATTTTTAAAATGTAGACCACCAGGTCATTCTTGTGAGGAACCTCTCGTTGTCTCTGCTAGATGCCATTGAGTTGGCTGATTCAGAGCCACCCTATGCACACCAGAATGAAACACTGCCTGACCCTGCACCATTCTTACAATTGTTGTTATGTTTGAGCTGTCACTGTGTCAACCCATCTCATTGGGGATCTCCCTTTTTCCCCCCACTGACCCTCCATTTTACCACTCATGATGTCCTTCAGGGGCTGGTTCCCCCTGATAACATGTCCAAAGTATGAGAATCAAAGTCTTGCCATCCTGGCTTCTAAGGAGCATTCTGGCTACACTTCTTCCAAGACAGATTTGTTTGATCTTCTGGCAGTCCATGGTACTTTTAATATTCTTTAACACCGTAATTCAGTGCCTCAATTCTTCTACAGCTTTCCTTATTCACTGTCCAATTTTCACACACACATGAGATTACTGAAAATACTATGGCTTGGGTCAAGTGAACTGTAGTCCTCAAACTGATATCTTTACTCTTAAACACTTTAAAGAGTTCACATGCAACAGATTTGCCTAATGCAATAGATTGCTTGATTTCTTGACTGCTACTTCCACCAAGTGTGGCACTGTGGGATAAGCACTGGACTGCAAGGTTGGTTTGAACTGCAAGGTTGGTGGTTCAAACTCATCAGCTGCTCCTCAAAAACCCTATACAGGTGTGCCAAGAGTCGAAGTTGACTTGATGGTACTTAGCAACAACAACAACTTCTGCCAGTGTTGCTTGTGGATCCAAGAAAAATGAAGTCTTTGACAACTTCAGTCTTTTCTCCATTTATCATGTTATTTATTGGTCCAGTGGTGAGAATTTTTGTTTACACTGAGGTGCAATCCATACTGAAGGTTGTGGTCTTTGATCTTTATCAAATATTTTAAGTCCTCTTTAATATCAGCAAGCAAGGTTGTATCATTTGTATATCATATGTTGCTCATGAATCTTCCTCCAATCCTGATGCCACATTCTTCTTCACAAAATCCAATTTTTCAGATTATTTGCTCAGTATACAGATTAAATAAGTATGGTGAAAGAATACAACTCTGGCACACACCTTTCCTGATTTTAAACCATCCAGCATCCCCTTGTTCAGTTTGAATGATTGCCTTGTGGCCTATGTATAGGTCCTTCATGAGCACAATCAAATGTTCTTGAATATCCATTGTTCGCAATGTTGTCCATAGCTTGTCATGATCCATATAGTTGAAAGCCTTTGTATAGTCAATAAAACACAAGTAAACATCTTTCTGGTAGTCTTTGCTTTCAGCCAAGATTCATCTGACATCAGCAATTATATATATCCCTAGTATTGCTACAGGATCAAATTATTGTCAGGTAGCATAGAGTTGGTTCAGACTCATAGCGACCCTATGCATAACAGAACGAAACACTACCTGGTTCTGCATCCTCCTCACAATTGTTGCCATACTTGAGCCCATTGCTGCTGCCATTGTGCCAATCCATCTTGTTGGGGTCTTCCTCTTTTTCGCAGACCCTCTACTTCACCAAGCATGATGTTCTTCTGCAGGGACTGAACCCTCCTGACAACATGTCCAAAATAAGAGAAATGAAATCCTGCCATCGCTGTTTTTAAGGTGCATTGTGGCTGTACTTCTTCCAACAGAAATTTGCTTATTCTTTTGGAAGTCTATGGTACTTTTTTTTCCAGATTTATTTTATTTTATTTTTTTAAAGTTTTTATTGTGAATTGAATGAAAGTTTACAGGGCAGATCATCAGTTTTACATTCAACAAATCATACACCTTGTTTTATTACAATGATTATAATCCCCTCCATGTACCCTCATACATTGACAGAGAACTTCCAGAGGTTCAAGCCGGATTCAGAAGAGGCCATGGAACAAGGGACATCTTTGCTGATGTCCGATGAATCTTGGCTGAAAGCAGAGAATATCAGAAAGATGTTTACCTGTGCTTTATTAACTATGCAAAGGCTTTCAATTGTGTGCATCATGACAAACTATGGACAACATCGCGAAGTATGAATATCCCAGAACACTTAATTGTGCTCATGAGGAATCTGTACCTGGACTAAGAAGGAGTTGTTTGAACAGAATATGGAAACACTGAATGGTTTAAAATTAAGAAAGGTGTGCAACAAGGTTGTATGCTTTCACCATACTTATTCAATCTGTATGCTGATCAAATAATCCGAGAAGCTGATTTATATGAAGTGAAGAGGACTTAAAACATTTACTGATGAAGATCAAAGAGCACATGTTTGGTAAAGTGGAAGTTCAGAGAAAAAGAGGAAGACCCCCAACGAGATGGACTTACCAAGTGGCAGCATCGATGGACTCAAGTGTGGCAACAGCAGTGAGGTTGGCCCAGGATTGGGCAGTGTTTCATTCTGCTGTGCATGAGGTCGCTATGGGTCAGTACCAACTCGATGGCACCTAACAACAACAACAAAATGTACCCTCAGATAACAGTATTTCTCTCTATTCACTTTAGCTCTCTCTCTCTCTCTCTTTAAACACTTAGGCATATATAATAATTTACACCAAAATTTCTTATTTTTGCCCATAGCACATTTAACCAATTTTTAGGCTTAAAAAATTTCTCATCCACAATCCATTGTTCGTCTTCCCCTTATTTCCCCCCCCCCCACGTGCATGCAATACATAAAGGACATTTTCTGTTTTCCCTCTCTTTTCTTCTTTTTTAGTTCCCTCTCTCTTTTTCTCATCTTTTCTTTCTTTAGTATTAAGTAAGTAGACTAAGATTAGGGTTGAGGAGGCAACTGAAGAAATTGGAGATGAGGCATCACACTGGGCAATCTTGAAAAGTGGCCAGAAAAATCAGTATTGAAAATTTATAAGAAAAACATTAAAAGATAAGAATAGAAATTCGAGGGAGGTGAACTACAAGGCTAACAAAATTTTGATAGATGTGCCATAACAAAATGATGAAGATTTAGAGGAAAGTTTGTACATATGCTCAAAATATGTTGTATACAAGAGAATTCCTAATAGGCACAGTTTCCTCATAGGCACAGTGAATGTAACACTGATGATGAAAGCATATTCTGGCACTCAGATGTTATTCTCCATGAGAAAATGCACACCAAAGAGAACCTTGTGAATGTGATGAATGTGTAAAAGCTTTCTGGGTGGTTTCATCCCTTATCCTACATAACAGAATCCACAGTGGTGAGATTCTTTTGTGTGTGAAAAGTATGGAAAGGTCTCAGCCAGAGCTCTGCCCTAACCCAACACAAAAGAATCCAGTGTGGGGAAAACCCATATTCTTGCAATCAACACCACAAAGCCTTCATGGCAGCTCAGATCTTATTAAACACAGGATAATTCACATTGGAGAGACACTCTGTGAATGTGAAAACTGTGGGAAATCCTTTAGAAATAGTTCAGCCCTCATTGAATACCACTGAATTCATATTAGGGGAAAAGTATTTGAATGTTGCTAAGTCTTCAGTAATAGATTTGCCCTTTCTTAGCATAAAGAGATTCATATGGAGGGAAATCCTATGAGTACAGTGACTGTGGGAAAATCTTTAAGACCAGGAACTGTCTTATTATGCACCAGAAAATCCACACTGGGGAGAAACCTTATGAATGTAGTGACTGCGGCAAGACCTTCCAACATAGGCACTGCTTTAATCAGAGGCTACCCACTAGAGAGAAATGCTATGTATGTGCAGAATGTGGGAAGGCCTTTAGCAGGAGTTCTGACCTTACCAAATACAAAAGATTTTACATTGAAGAAAAGTCCTAACAGTGTGGAGTATGGGAAGGTTTTCAGCTGTAGCTCTGACCTTTCAATACATAAAATAATTCACACTGGGGAGAAACCAGTTGATTATAACCAGTGTGGGAAGGCTTTTGGTGGAAAGTCAGACCTTAATCAAGCACAAAATAATTCACAATGGGGAGAGGTCTTATGAATGTCAAGAGTATAGAAAAGCCTTCAGTTATAGCTCTGTCCTTGTTGTTGTTGTTAAGTGTTGTTGTTAAGTCCACAAGAAAATTTATACTGCAGAGAAACCCTCTGGGCGTAATGCATGTAGGCAGATTTTTCATTGGAGCTCAGAACTTAATGTGTGAAACCATATAAATGTGCAAAATGTAGGAACACCTTCGAATGAACTCA